TACTTTGAAAAATTATATCAGGTAAGATGAGATCACCACCTCACCACCAATGAGCCCTTCCTCTTTCTGCTTTCCATGCCAGTCATACTGGCCTCCTGGTGTTTCCTGAAATATACCTTGTATACTCACACTCAGAGCCACCCCACCCACTGCTCCCCCGGCTCAGATGCTTCTTAAATGTCACCTCATCAGAGATATTATTCTGACTGCCCTATCTAAAATAGTGTCCACCACACCCATCATTCCCCTTATCCTGCTTTATTTTTTGATAGAACTTATCACTGCAGATATATTTATGTATTTATGTATGTACATAATCCCTGTCTTTGTTCACTAAAATGTAAGGCCCGTAAGAGTAGATACTTATTTGTTCCCTAGTGTCGGCAGAACCTAGAAGAGTTTCTAGCAAATAGTGGTTGTGATATTGTGATTTATAATAAGAAATACACATTTAGTTTTCATCCACTTCCTGGCACAGAGCTCCTGAAACCCTTGGAATTTCCTGTGATGTTAGTGATAAAGGTATCTTTTATTGTTAATGAGTGACTTTTGGAAAGCACCTAAGCATGGGGGTGGTTGCCAGTGGAGCCCACCATGTGATGAAAAGGTTGGAACTTTCAGTCCCACCCAACCTCTAACCCCCATACCCTGACTTTCTAGGAGGGGAGAGGGACAAGAGATTGAATTCAATCACCAATGGCCAATGGTTTAATCAATCGGGCCTATGTAATGAAGCCTCTCAAAACATCCAAAAGGTTAGGCTTCTGAGAACTTCGAGTTGGTGCACCAGAACGCATCCATGTGTTGCCGTGCTAAGCCCCAGACTCCACAGGGACATAAGTTCCTGTGTTCAGGGACTCACCCTATGTATCTCTTCATCTGGCTGTTGATTCATATCCTTTGTAATAAACCAGTAATCAAGTGAGTAAACTGGTTTCCTTAGTGCTATGAGCCACTCTGGAAAATTAATTGAACCCAAGGTGGGGTTTGTAGGAGCCTCTCCGATCTATAAACAGATGGTTAGAGCACAAGTAAACAACCTGAACTTGCAATTGGCGTCTGAAATGCAGGGTAGTCTTGTAGGATTGAACCCTCAACCTATGGAATCTGATGCTATATCCAGGTAGACAACGTCAGAATTAAGTTGAATTGTAGGACCCCAGCAGGTGTCAGAGAATTGCTGGGTGTGGGGAAACAACCCACACCTTGGGATTGGTATCAGCGGACTACAAATATTTTGAATGAATGTAAAATATCAGATACCTGAATCCTGTCACTTTTTGTATCTATCCATCTATCTTTCTATTCATCCACCCACCCATCTCTCTGATCAAAGCAGCTATAGTAGTGGTGATAATACTACTAAGACTAATAATCATGGGCGCCTGGGTGGCTCAGTTGGTTAAGCGACTGCCTTCAGCTCAGGTCATGACCCTGGAGTCCCTGGATCGAGTCCCGCATCGGGCTCCCTGCTCGGCAGGGAGTCTGCTTTGCCCTCTGACTCTATCCCCTCTCATGTGTTCTCTCTCATTCTCTCTCTCTCAAAATAAATAAATAAAATCTTTAAAAAAAAAAAAGAAGACTAATAATCATAACTCATTGAATATTTACTACTCAGACACTATGTAAGTGATTTACATGGACTTTCTCATTTAATTCTAAAAAAAATAAATGAGGGACACCTGGGTAGCTCAGTCAGTTAAGCATCAGACTCTTGGTTTTGGCTCAGGTTGTGATCTCAGGGTCATGAAATCAAGCCCTTCATCAGGCTCCCCACTATGTGTGGAGCCTGCTTGGGATTCTCTTTCTCCCTCTCCCTTTGCCCCCCCCACCAAAAAAAACCAAAAACAGAATGAAACAAATATGAAATAGGTAATCAGTAGTGACCAATTCCTCTAGGTGATTAAATTAATAGGTAACATTGAATATGGCTGATAAAAGGAAGAGAAGAGAAGTTTATGACTCTTGGCTTCTGGCTTGAATATCTGATGGATAATATATCCTCACTGAGACACAGGAGGAAGAAACCATTCAGCAGGAAAGACAACAGGCACTTTTATGCAGACTGACTTTGAAGGGCCCATGGAACACCCCTGTGGAGAGTTCCAGTAGACTGTTCGGAATATGAACTTTGGTACTACAAAGATACCTTAGCAAGAGGCAAAAATAAAACAGGGAGTCCTTAGTATATGGATGGAAGTTGAGACTATGGAAGAGATTGCCTACAGAATGTCAATATGCGTTGAAAGTGGGGGATAAGATTTTGGATAATATCTATGTAATAAGAGGTGGGGTGAGGAAAAGGAGCCCACACTAGGAAGGGTCAGTAGTGTGGGGAAAGGACCAAGTAAGAGTGGGCTCTATAAACCATTGTTTAGTCTTCTGTGGCTACTTCTGGGATAATTAGAGGTCCCTAGAGGGCCTGATGTATTCTTAGGGTTTCCAGAAGACATGGCTCTGGGAGATGGCATAGAAGATGACCAGCGCCGTGCGCCTGATGTGTTCCAAGCCCTCCCTACAGCTGACTGGCATGCCCCCTGACATGCTCTCACAATCACTGGCATACATACCTCACAGCCTTGCAGGACCCCGTCAGTACCACTCACTATTCATGTGGAGGAACAGTTGGTTATGCAAATTTTTTAGGAAGAGATATCTCAGCAAAGATATATAATAGTGTGACTGGTTCCTCAAAAGTGGAGAATTGTCACATACTCATTTTTGTCAACTTCAGAAATGATAAAGAGAATCATAGACTTGCAAATGGAAAAAATAAACCATTCAGATGAAAGAGAATCTAAGTGGTTTAAATATGCAGCCTACTGGGGTACAGAGGCAACCTCCTTTGTTTCTATCAAATGAACTTCATCAAAAGGAGGTAACCCTATCAAATTTCAGGCATTTACAGTGTAATATATCAGAATAAAGATGAAAACTTTCAGCTTACAGTTTAGAAAGGCTAGAACAAGGCCAAGAAGAAATGAAGTCATACATTTTTCTGAGTGACCCTCTTCAAAGATGGCCCTTAAAACAGAAGGCCAGACTGTTGAAGAGAGAATGTGGAGAGAATATCAACCAGGAAAACCAGGAAAACTACCCCTGGTTCTACCAAAACCAGCCATGTGACCTTTCTTAGGTTTTAGTAGTTTCCTTTGTGAAATGAAAGAGGAGAACTTCTTCTTTTTTTTTTTTTTTTCCATAAAAACAGTAATCCCCAGTTACCATGGAGGATTACATTCTAAGCCCCCCAGTGGATGTCTAAAATCACAGAGGGTACTGAACCCTATATATACCCTATTTTTTCCTATATGGATATACCTATAGTAAAGTCTAATATAAATTTGGCAGAGTAAGAGACTAACAACAATAATAAAATAAAACAATTATAATATATGCCATAATGAAAATTATGGGAAAGTGGTCTCATTCAAAAAATCTCATTGTGCTATATTCACCCTTCTTCTTGTGATGATGTGAGATGATAAAATGTCTGCATGAGGAGATGAGGTGAGGTGACATAGGGTGACGTAGCCTAATGCTGAGCTTCAGATAGATCAGATGTAGGATCATCTGCTTCCAGACCATGGTTGACTGCAGGTAACTGAAACTGCAGAAAACAAAACTGCAGATAAGGAGGGACTACTGTATCATAGGGTGACTGTATTAAAATATGAGCTCCTTGAGAACTAGGATTGTGTCTATTAATTGCTTCCTAAAGTATGCATCTTTTAAAAAGGTTTTATTGTGGGGCACCTGGGTGGTTTTGGTGGTGAACTCTTAGTTTTGGCTCAGATCGTGTTCTCAGGGTTGTGAGATTGATCCCCGCATCAGGCTCTGCACTCAGCAAGGAGTCTGCTTGAGATTCTCTCTTCCTCTCCCTCTGCCCCTCCCACTTGTGCTCACTCTGTCTCTCTAAAATAAATAAATAAATCTTTCTAAAGAAATGTGTAATTGAAGTATAACTACATACGGAAAAGTGTTCAAATCGTAAGTGGTCAGCTTAATGAATTTTTCACCCAATGAATATGAATGCACTCATGTAATCATTACCAGCTAACAACAAATACAATGTTACCAACTGTTTGCTTTATTAGTTTTCTGCTTACAGGGAATGCTCAGCAAATAACAAGTTAGTTTATGAAGATGACCCAATCATCTTTTCTCACAACAGTCTCTATACCTTGTTATTCTATTCATAGTGGGGAATTTATGCTGAATAATCCACTCAGTCTTTTAGGGTCTTAGGAGAATAGCAGATATTTGTTGAAAGAATAAATGAATGAGTATGGAAGCAAACAATTATGGCAAAGCACCTAGATAACGAAGAAGAAAGAAATCTAACTCTAATCTTGTTAGACTACATCTTGCTTGCTTTCCTATTTCCTGTCACTGTGTCACTGTGTGGTGAGAGAAGAAAGGCCTTTAAGATCTACTGCCACTCTCTTTGGTCCAAAGTGTGAAGGAAAATGTGAACGTCAACTTCCCCTGGGGCTTCTAGAAGAATCTCCCGCAGTTTGCACGGGATCAGAATTTATGAAGACGAGATTCTACTCCCAGTTAGGATGGGACCTACTAAATCACAAGGTCTTGGACGTGGACCAGGTCTCATCTGTAAAAAGGCAGACCTGGACGATTGCTAAACTTCATTCCAGCTCTAAGATTCCAAGGACACCCACTTCTTTACAATGACTGGCTGGCGCCCATAGAGCAGATGAAAATGAACCCGGACCCCACAGTAGTGAGCCATTAGCATAGGTCCATGGTTCTAGTTGGCTGATCAAACTAACCAGGCAGAGATGAATGCCTAACTAGAATGTGAATTGTTGCCTTGCAAAAGAGCAATTTAAAGATTAAGGGGGGTGGAAAATCCCGGGCAGCCCATCCCTCTGCCATCAGCAATGCGGCACTGCTGCAAGCCATCAGCTTTGTTCTTCCTCCCACTTTGCTGAAGCAAGAGTTTTCACCGCCAAAGCAACCCCAACTGTGCAGATCTCACCTACCTAACACTCTTCTGTGGACAGATGGTACAAGGATTGCAAGGACAGTCATGGGGAAGACTCCGCGGCTTTGACCCTTGTAGACGGATACCTGTGACAAGTCACCACACCTTTACACCATCTCCGCTGCGGTGGGTGGGTATTCCTAGATGTCCAGGAAGAGAAATTCACTGTCGATGCCTAGTGATTCAGTACAAGCAGTACGACATCAAGAGCATGGGAAAATTGGAAATACTCTGTTTCAGCCTTTTAAAAAACCCATGTTAGCATGTATTAGGTTAGGCCATGGTCGTCAGTTCTCTTGCGCATGCGCGCACCCCTGCCGGTTTCCCTTACCCTTCTAATTGTTGACGTGATGTGGGCAAAGAAGCACTCAGTTTCTTTCTCACACAGTCGCAGGTTCCTTTTTTCTTACTGACTGATGTTACCCTGCTCGGCCATTCAGGAAACGAGAGTCTGATAACTGAAGGATTTTAATTGTGGCCTTAGGATCAACTACACATAAATAAAGAAACCGAGATACAATTGTCTACTAAATTATGTTATGGTGTCTGAGGCATATGATTCAGAAGCAGGTTCCAAGCCTAGACACATGTCTGATGCTAAAATATGATTTCCGGGTTATAACTACTTTGTAATCTGATAGTTTGAGGTTCGACTTTCAGACCAAAGATTTCAAATTCTAATTTCAAACACTGATCAGTGACAGGGGACCCTGAAAGAGTCTCCTTTCTTAAGGCCAGACACAGGAAGCAGGGTTTTTCCTTTTTAAATACAGTCTTCCTGCATAGATCTTATTTATATAAAATGTCTATCTGGAGTCTTTGTAAACAGTATTCACCCAAGTTATTTGTTTTTTAATTCTGGAAATAAACATGCACAAAACTTAGCAACTAGAATCCAAACTCACTGGGTTTGCAAGTAATGTTATCTAGATACACTGATTGGGAGAAACAATTGATTTTTTTTTAAATCCAATGAATGGATTTGATGAGAATATTTAAAAGACTAAGGAGCTGTGTATACCAAAGAGCATATTTTTTTTCACCCAATTTCTCTTTCACAAATTGGTTAGCACATTCTTCTCTACCCCCACTCAAGATTCTGGAAGAGTCTGAGGTATTGTCCTTCTGTTAATTGGCCAGAATAACAGGGCAACTTCTCTAGAGCTGCAGAAGTTAATGGGAAAAATTCAGTTGCAAAAATACCAAGTTACATAAGGTTATGTAAAAAGTCAGCTACAGAGCCAAGGCTTCAGAGTTTCTGGCTTTTTGGTTTCTGCTCCTCTTTGAGCCTTGGCGTGACATGGTGTGTGAACTACCAGCGTTTGAAGGGTCTTTGGACCAATACCCCTGCCGTGTTGTTTCTCACATCTCCTCAATACTGGCCTAGGTGTTCACAGGAATTTATATTTGGAAAGAAACTCTAAAGAGGCAAATATTGAAGTTCTCTCAGTTTAACAATATGAGAAATGATATAAAATAAATGGTGTGGTTTTCATAAGGGAGAACTAGGTTGCACTGGTCAATTAGGTGTGCTGTGGAATTCTGCCTAGTGATGGACAAAAAGCAACAACTAAATTTCTTTTGATTGATTTTCAAACCTTCACCAGCTAGCAGTCTCTACACATTTACTACTCTGTCCATTTAAAAAAAAAAAAATCTGTGAGTTCATTTCCAATCCATCTTTTGCTCACTTCTTAAATCTCCCAATTCTGGTAGATGAGAGTCCACAGATATCTACAACTATATACCAAAGGAAAAAATCTATAAAGGCAGCATTGCTGTTTCATTCAGAATACTTCCCACAATATTGTTGGCTCTTTTCAAACAGAATTAGAGAATTTCACTGCTGTGGGAACATGTTTAAAATAACCATCATGTGTCATAGTCATCTGTCTCTATTGTCTTGAGATATTAGATTTTTAAAGGCTCATACTTATTTCTCTTTCTCTCTCTCTCTTTCAAGTATATGGTTCAAATATGGTATCTCTATGATAGCATAATAGAGTTCATTTCTGGTTAGTTAGAAATCAGTGTGTTTTAGGAATGCTTTACTGGATTTCTATGTAATAAATGGCTGTTTCCCATGACCATTTCTTACCTGCTAAGTTTTGTGGAGGATATGAAGTCTTTTGTCAGTGATGGCAGCTCATCTGTCCGATCCCACTCATACAACGTGGCTGGGGATAGTTCTGCACAGCTCCAACAGTGCAACCCCTACCCAATGCCCTTTATCCCAGAGCACTTCCCAACCACACGGTCACAAAGGAATCCCTTTTCTTGAAATAAAATAAGACAAAGGTACTCTTTAATATCACAAAAAGACTAGGACCAACTACTGTGGAAAGCACTGACAAATCATATTATCAACTGAAGTTGTGGGAGACAAATTAGAGTGCTTTCCCCAGCCCCCAGCAATTGCTCCAATGGCCCTGACTGTGCTATTCCATTCACCCCGCTACTCCCATGGAGGGTCCAAATTGCCCTCTTGATCACAGCTATTGACCTAAGGGTAGATATCTGACACAAACCAGGCTAATCACTGCAGCTCAGGTATCCTTGGCCATAATGATTGGTCCAAGGGGCAGACATGTGATCTGAGCCAGACGAGTTAAGTCTTCTATGGAATTTTTCACACTCAAGTTTAGGAAAAATCCTTTTCTCTTGGATGATGACGTTGTTAGGATGTGAAGCTAGAGATGGAGTGGAAGAAGAGACAGGAGAAAAGGAGAGTCCTGAGTCCCTGGTTCTAGTCTCACCATTCCTCAAACTGCCCTGTGTCCAGCCTTCATGAACTTGATGGTCCAGCTCTTCCTTTCAATTAATCACCTTTCTGTTTAAATTAGTTCAAATGGGGTACCTGTCACTTGCACTTGAGAAAATCCTGAGTAGGACACATATCAAAAAGAGTACTTTATAATATCACTTTTCATGGTAGGGAAGGATTCCACCATCTGCATATATTCACAGATTTTTCAAATAATCCTCTATTATTGGACATTTAGATACTCAAAGTCTTCCTGCATCATAAATAATGCTGTGATAAACCTCCTTATTCCTGGGCGCCTGGGTGGCTCAGTCGTTAAGCATCTGCCTTCGGCTCAGGTCATGATCCCAGAGTCCTGGGATCAAGTCCCACATCGGGCTCCCTGCTCAGCGGGAAGCCTGCTTCTCCCTATCCCACTCCCCCTGCTTGTGTTCCTGCTCTCACTGTCTCTGTCAAATAAATAAATAAATAAAATCTTTAAAAAAACAAACAAACCTCCTTATTCATAAAATGTTGAACATATCTGTTTCATTAGGCTTGCTCCTAAAACTGGGTATAATTTGAAAGCTTTTGATATGTTGTCACCAGATCTTCCTAAAAGCTTTTTTTTTTTAAGTTCAAGTATAGTTAACATACAGGGTTATATTAGTTTCAGATGTACAATACAGTGATTCAACAATTCTATATATTACTCGGTGCTCATCACCGTAAAAGTACTCTTAATCCCCTTCAACTATCTCGCCCATCCCCCCCCAGCCACCTCCCCTCTGGCAACCATCAGTTTGTTCTCTATACATTTCTCTGGAAGCTTTTGATACATTAGCACCAGATTTCCCTGACAAACATTTGTATTTAATGTGCATTTCCAACAGCAGTCTATGCAAGTGTCTGTTTTTTTCACGCTGTCACCACCTTGGGATATGATCGTTCTGTTTCTTTAATATGTTTCTCAATTTTCTAAGCAAAAAGTGCTAACTCATTGTTTTTTCACTTTGCACTTCTTGGGAAAAGCAGGTCATTCTTATAAAGAAGCCCTGGGTTTCCACCACATTTTAGAGCATCATGCTGGTGGCGCTCTTATCACTGCACTGAGCCTCGGTTGCTGCCTGACTCACTCTATCAAAATGTTAACAGAGTTTCCTGCCATCGGAGGGTTTTGTCAAAATATCACGTTGCCTAATTTTGATCCAAAATACCAACAACCCTCTTCATGCTGAGAGGAGGAGAAGAGAAGTCATCAAGTAAACATCCTAAGAGATGATAGCAGGTGGCAGGAGCACTCTTGCTTTATTTTGTTGGGTTTTGTTCCATTTAGACTTAGTGATTGAGGGGGATGGGAAAGCCCTTTTACTGGCAGAGAAACTGACCCTAAGGAGGAGACTTTCTTTTGACTCATATTGCTCTCAATTTTTTTTTAGTGCGCTCACAATAGTTTGTTCTTTTGCTATGGAGCTGGAATGACCTTGGATTTCACAGAGGCACTTTTCAGAACTCTTCCACGTCATCCTTTTCCAAAGCATTTGCAGTGTTTGACCGCCCAGTGCTCTCACAACGGACTGAATGACACACTTTCTCTTTCCTTTGCAGTGATTCCAAATAGGGTGCATTTGCACTCCCTTCCATTAGCAGCAGGCTAAAACTAGCATTACATTGTCAGAAGTTGAACTTGGTGAACTCTGGGCTTCTCAAGAAGAGTCTCCAAGCGAAGACAGGGCATGTTTCACAATTAAAAACTTTGGGAAGCATCCTTTAGAGCACACACTGTTGACTTCTGTGCTGCTGTTGTCCAGGACCAAAAGCTCCTTTTGTGCATATGTGGCATGAGTGTGATGTGGCCAAAGAGTTAGCCAATGCTTGAGATTTTCACCACGTCTGTGCAGTATAAGAAAGAAAGGAGGGAGCTATTTTCATTTTATTTTTTGATTAAGTATGTGTTGACCTAGCTTTCAGTGGTTGGAAAATTATGTGAAAAACATTTTTAATATAGTTAGGTCTGTCCTAATATATCAAAAGATTTCATTAAGGCATATTGATTTACATTTTTAATTAGTCTATATTTTTGTATACATGAAAAAATATATGCATATATGTATATATTTTTATACATATCTATGAAAAGCACAGACTGATCTAAAAGTGAAAATCAATATGCCTTGATGCAATCTTATTTTAACCTATTACATCAATAATAATGATATTTAAATATCTATATGGTAGGTGTGCAGCCCCAACTCTATCCCTCCTAAGTTTTAAGGTTTTTTCTTTCCCTTGTTGCCCAGTGCTGTACCTTTTCCCTAAGCTCACATCAGCACCACCAACCCCCATGTACAGAAAAAGACTTTATTTATTTGAATAAGAAAATTTAGAGATTTCCAGAAGAAAGAAAAAAACCTGTATGGAGATAGAAACAGAATGGCTTATAGGCTATAGGTTTTTAAATTTAACCTTGGTAAAAGTCACAACTTCCCTGGATCTCAGTTTTCACATTTATAACAGGAAAGGGATCGACTATTCTCTACAGTGGTATTCAGTTTTACAATTAGAAGATATAACACAGGCAGACCTGTCTGGGGAGCCAGGTCCCAAGTTTCTCTTTTATAAAGCACTAGGAATTTCCCCTTCTCTTTCTGGATTTTAACCTGATTCCCCTCTAGCTCATCACCCTCTAATGGGACCAGATGGTAGTGTTAATAACTATCATTTCCTGATGCCTGTTTTGAGCCAGAATGCATCTGAGGTTCAGAAGGGTGGATTAAGTTGCTCTGTGAGCACATGGTCCAGGAATGGTAGAACCTGGACTTGAACCCACATTGTCAAGCTCCAAAGCCATGATCTTTACCACCATGCTGCATTGTCTCCCAGTAGGCTGGTGATTTTCAAGTGATAGCTTCCATAAAACCTCGAAAGTGGAGCTGCTCTGGGTTAAGTAGAGTGGGAATGTGGGTGTTGGCCTCTCTGCCTCATCTACAAGTGTAGGTTGGCCCCACTGTGCTTTCACAGAACTCTGAACTGCATGACATGGGAAAGAAACCATGACACTCCCATGACTACTCATGGCCATGATAGGGCAACACCCACCTTGACTCCTCTCCGGAGTTTCTGGGTGAAGATCAAGCAATCAGTGTCCACAGAGGCAGAGGCCCAAGAGCATGACTCACAGTGTAAGCAGCGATTCCAATAGCCAGAGAGCCAGCAGAGCAGCCCTATTTTAATATTTCCTTGGGGGGCCACAAAAACGTTGTCAGGAGACAAGCAGTTTCTGCACTGGAGTCAAGACACCATCACATTTTTAATAGACATGATAGTAGCGGGCGCCTGGGTGGCTCAGTTGGTTAAGCGACTGCCTTCGGCTCAGGTCATGATCCTGGAGTCCTGGGATCAAGTCCCGCATCGGGCTCCCTGCTCAGCAGGGAGTCTGCTTTGTCCTCTGACCCTCCCCCCTCTCGTGTGCTCTCTGTCTCTCTCATTCTCTCTGTCTCAAATAAATAAATTAATTAATTAAAAAAAATCTTAAAAAAAAATAGACATGATAGTAGGAACCTTCGGGCTCTCATTTTTGAGCACCGCTGTCATTAGCATTGCCATCATTTCCCTGAAGTTCAACATAATGGTCAAGTGTGAGGACTTTGCTATGAGCAGGACTGGGTTTCCATTCTGACCCCGCCAACTATTGAGTGGGTTTGGACTAGCTATTTAATTACGATTCCATTTTCTCGTCTAGAAAATGAGATAAAGTAAGCAAAACCTAGCACAATATCTATCATAATAAAGGTTAGCTATTAATACTGTAAGTTAATGAAACATATTCTTCTAGTTACAAAAAAACGAGAAGAATCAGTATTTCCAAAAACTTTATTAATATATATGGTAATCTGATTATTAAAAGATGGACTCCTCTCATTAAAAACCTTTTTTTTTAGGGGCTCCTGGGTGACTCAGTTGCTTAAGCATCTGACTCTTGGTTTTGGCTCAGGTCATGATCTAATGGGTCATGAGATGATGGAGCCCCGCGTGGGAGTCTGCTTGAAGATTCTCTCCCTCTGCCCCTCCCCTCCCTCAAATAAATAAATAAACCTTTAAAAACTTCTGGTTTTTGTTGTTTTTTTTTTCATTTTTGGTTTCGACACTCTCCTTCTGAATTGCATCTGAATTTTTTTGTTTTTATGATTGCCACAATAAGTGGCACATATGGTTATCATAAGCAATGGTTACAAATTTTTTGTCCTTGGGATGAGAACTTTTAAGATCTACTCTCTTAACCTGATGTAATGTGCAACACAGTGACTATAGTTAATAATAATACCATATTTATATTTAAAAGTTGTGGTTGAATTTTGTGTGAGGTTTCTTTCTCAAATATACATATATTATGCCACATGGGATGTGCTATTTCCATGTTCTTGGGAGTCAGATGTGCCATTACAAAAAC